CAGAAACCCAGTGGGGGGTCGCTGTAAGTTGGAACTGACTCAGTGGTGTGAGTGTTTAATTCTACTAATTAGTCTGTTATGTCACTCAGCTCCCCGACCTGCCCTCTTAGTTGTAAGCACGATAGTTACATATCTTTTATTTCTAGAAGCCATCATCGGTTCTTTCTTCTATTTGCCATCTTTTTTGATACCATGTTCTTCTGCTGCTTGTTCTGCTGCCCCTCCCTGAGGTCCTGCGGCTCCTGCCAACACACAAGGAGCTTGCAGTGGGGGGACTGTGTTACAGAGAGGGTTTGCCACTGGTCCTTGTTGCCCGTGGAGCACTGGGCAGTGAGTGAGTGGATGGGAAGCAGAGGGAGACTGAGCTGGTGGGGGAGGCAGTCTCCAGGGGGGTGGCCCTGTGGCACAGCCTAGTGGAGGGAGGGGTGTCCATGTAGAGGGAGGAGCTTGAGGACCACAGGGGCCTGCGAGTGGCTACCAGCCACGCTGCAGGTGGGCTTCTCGGCCCAGGCACTCAGCACCTGTGGTGACTTACGCGGCATGATCTGTCATCACTCTTGGAGGGCCTGTGAATTCTGCAGTTGTCTTTGTGTGGGTGACACTCCGGAGAGAAACCCAGCCAGTATGGGACGAGTATCCACAGAGAGTCGGTGAGACAGCACTTAAAACCGAGGGAGCTCATGCTTTAATAGACACTAGGTCACAAAGGGAGAAGGCCAAGTGCCTCACAATCTCAATAAAAATATCAAGTTCTTTTTACATGGTAAATTTTGTAATATAAAAAGTTTTAATGCCATTCTGGAAACTGTGTAATTTACAAAAAGAGTCCACGGAGGCCAAAGACGGCTCACGCTGCATACGAGGGGCGGGGTGCCGTGTGGGGAAGGCATCGAGGAGGGCGAGGGACCACGCGGGTCCTTGCATGGAACATCTTTTGAAGGATCTGGCACAAACAGAGCCTAGTTCACAAACCACACATACAGTCATTTCAGATAAAACAACAAAATATGTGATGAAAACAACAGTCTTTACTTTTTGCCCAAGTAGTGGAAGCAGACCAGGTAACTGTGTGGCATTTTCCCACCTGAACTGAGACAAAGTGACAGTTCTCCCTGTGGGTCTGCAAGTGTGCATGGTGAAGACAGTGGGGCAGGTTCATGAGACCAAGGACCTGCTGCAGTGGTCCCTGGCAGGACAGTCACCAAGAGAGACAGACGAGCAGGCTAGGGCAGCGTGTGCTCAGCAGGCGCCTGTGGGGACCATTAATTGACTTTGAAAGCTGGGGTGGAGGGCAGAACTCTCTCATTCACTATATACTAGTGTGGATCACAATGTGTCGGAAGCTGATTTTTCCTTGGCATTTTGACTGAGCTCACAGAGGCAGCTGAGGGGCCGAGCCCACGTCCTTGCTGGGAGCTCATACCCAGGGGTCAGTGGAGGTTGCCTTATTTATTACTGTGGTTCAGTGTTTGCAGGGGGGGGGCAGTGGAGTTGGGCACAGGTTACGTCAGTTTCCTAAGCTGAGAAAGAAATATACTGGGTGCTGTCTGCAAATGGTGAATATTTTTGTCAATTTTACCCACATTCATTCTCTTCCCAAGTGGAGCGGAGAGGTAAGGGCTGAGCAAGAGTCCTTCGATTCTTTGTGCACGTGGCCCAGGCGTGCTTGGGGCTCGCCTGCGGGCCACCTGACCCATGTGGTGGCCCAGAGAAACAGACTGTTACTCCAATTGTATTTTCTCTCATCTCTGCCAGGAGTCAGCCAACTCTTCTTTAAAGGGCCAGGCAGTAAATATTTCAGGCTCTGTGGGCCAAGAGGCAAAATCAAAATATTACACAGGGACTTAAATAACCTTTAGAAATGTGGAACCATTCTTAGCTTGTGGGCTGTAAACCAGGCAGCTGACCATTAACCCGTTGCTTACTGACCCCTGACTTACACAGAGAAATCTTTGTGAATTATAAAGCCCCACATAACTTTGAGTGCAGGCTTTTTTCAGTGTGGCCTGAGAAGTCCACGTTGATTTTGTGATTTTCCACCTGTTCTACTGGTGCAGTGGTAGCAGGAAGGACACTCAGCAGATGCAACACAGGGCGAGTCTGCTCTCAGGCTGGTCCTCTTCTGTCATCTTTGCTTTTCCCTTCACTGAAGCTTACGTGCAAGACCAAAAAAAAAAAAAAAAACTGCGCCATGACAGTTAAAGCAATACTGCACTCGGGACTAAAACAGGTTAGAGCCCGTGGGTCTTCCCCGCTGGCTGAAAAGCCACAAGAGTTGTCTACAGGAATGGTCGGGATGCCAGGGGCATCCACAGAGGGTGGATAGAGGGGTCCCTGCGAGGGAGCACCGGCCCCAGGCCACTCCTCCTGGCTGCACGGCACTTGGGAGAGCACTGAGAGACGAGGGGTGAGGAAGGGCGGCCTGACTCTCCACAGCAGACTCAGAAGTGTGGTCGAGGACCTGATCTTACTGCGTGAATTAAACGAACGGTGCTATACATGTGGCTTTTGTTCCATCACTGGTACCTTCACTAACGTTCATTTTCTCTCTGCTCACATAAAGACATCCGCCTAGTGGCTTGCGTCCCTGTACACTACCCCCCTTGCAGTGCTGGGATGAGGAGTGCTTCCATTACCACGGCTGTGACACAGCTCAGAGACAGCACACGTGGGATGCGTAGTCTCGTTTCAGAGGAGCAGACGTGGTCGGTGTGTGTTCATCAAGTGAGAGCCAAGCCAACGTTAAAACCGCACCTGGCTGCCTCGGTGTTAGTGCCCTCCCTGGTGGGCCCTCACGTGCAGGGCCAGGTGGCTCCATCCCTGTGTGGGACACACCCTCAGAGTGAGGATGAGTGATTCTGAATCTTAGAATCACCTAAAAGAAGCTTATTTAAATTCTCCAGCTAAGTCCTAATGTGGTTTTCAGCATCTCATTTCTTTATTAAAATAAGTGAACGGTTATCCCTGACTAGACTATGCCCTTTGCTTGTTTCGGCTGGTGGCCACGGTGGCAAAGCCTGCCTCCCTGTCCTGTAAGGACGGCGGCCCCGGGAAGCAGTGCTTCAGGCGCGTCCCAGTAGAAGGCCACACCTGCCTTCCGCGGATCGGAAAGTCTGTGGGGGGGCAGGCAACGGGGAGAGGGCGGCCCCAGGTGTGTGTGTGGGGGGGCTGGGGGATTGTGGGAACCTGGCAGTGGGGTGAGATGGCAGAGGTGCTAGAAGCCCAGGGTTAGGGAAGCGGCTAACAAACGGGACTAGGAGCCAAAAGGCTCGAAGCTGGTTACATCTAGTTAGCTGTGGACATTTCTCTTCTTCGTTGTTGATCGGGAAACTGGAGAGTTCAACCTTCCCCCCAAACTTGATCATTACTTATTGTTGATCATTCAAAATGTGACATTTTTAAAAAACTTTTTGAGCTTTTAAAAATAATAGCTATAAATGCAAAGTACTATTGATAATAAAACCAAGTTGTTTATCTGCGTACAAAAAAGGTCAGTAATGTTTGAAAAGCACAAAGTTGCATTTGAAATCACAATTGCATAGTTCTGAAATGCCTGGGCAAGAGCTGTAGAAATGTTTTCTAAAAAATTCAAGTTTGGTTGCCAGTGGGGCCCAAACGGACAGTGAGAGATGGAGGGGCGCACAGGGGGGCAGCAACGCTCCCACCTGGATTATTGCATGGCTGCTGGGCTGCTGCCCAGTGGCCAAAGCTGCTACAATTCAATTCTAAATCATTGGCATTTGTTAAAACCATTATTCTCTTTTTGGCAAGTATTACACTTTCAACTTAGATTTTATATAGAGCACCCCCACCAGCACCTGACAGCCATTAAAAAAAAAAAAAACTATTTGTATCTCTGTGTATAAAAGGTCCTACGGGTCCACCTCTTAGCAAAATATGTGCCCCCTTTCCTCTCCCCACCCAGAACTGTGACCGTTTTGTACAAAAAATCCTGTTGAGGAGTTCCAAGGTAAACATTTGGTGTGAAGTGTGTGGAAAAGTCCACGAGTGTCCTGTACCAACCCCACAGAAGTCCTGGCTTTGGGTGAATCTGGCCCAGAGTCCTGACAACGGAGCCACTGGCCGTGTGCTTGGTGGCGTTTGGACAGGGTGACGCCAGGGAAGGCGCCCACCAGGAGGCGTGGCTGGGACTGGTGCGCTCAGGCAAGGCCAACGGTGCGCACAGGGAGACCCTCTGTGGGCTGCTGCTCAGACCCAGCGGGTGGAGAAGACACTTCAGCATTTGGAGGAGGGGAAAAATCTTCCCGGGGACAGAAACTTGTAGCCGTTCCCTGCAGGGAGTCTCAAAGGGCGCGTGGGAGCCGCTGCAGTGCCGGCGGGCAGCGGCAGCGTGCTCAGCCTGCTGGTCTGCGTGTGCCAGTGCCCGTTGGGAGGGGGCGCTGGCGGTGCGTCGCCAGGCTGCTGCAAAGACAGCTCCTTAAGTTCAAGCTTATCTGCTCCTTCTTCCTTCTTGCTGTGACGGGGTGACAGGTTTAACAGACTGAGGACATCTCTCTTAGAGGTCATTGTCCCGGGGGCCCCGCGGAATATCTTCACTGGTCCCGGGGGGTGCTGGGGTGCGCTCTGCCAGAACATCTTTAGGTTGTGCACGGCCTGCACCTTCTCGTCAATGGCCGCCATCTTCAGTTTGTCGATGTCTGGCGCGTCCGCGGGACTCGAGCGAGCGGAACCAGCTGAAGAATAGGAGAGCGTTGGGGACGGTGCGCTGCCAGCAGGAGACTGGTGGCCTGAGCTTGGGGACCTGTTCCTTGGGGACTTGGAAATGTGAGCACTGTAAGGCGAGCTGGGGTACTTCAGTTTAAAGAGAGGCTGGTCAGTCAGGGACGTCTGGGAGTCAGAGCCCGGCGAGGGCCGGCCGCCGTGCTGGCTCCGGCTGTCCTTGATGGATGGCTCTGAGGGGGTGGGGCTGCTGTATCCCGAGCTCACCTTGGGCAGGGACGAGCTCCTGGCTGGGGGCTTTGGCTTAGCAGTAAGCGGTGACTGCTGGCTCTTCTGATGGGAGAGGACAGGCCTGCTGAACGCACTGGTTTCTGAGGCTCTGAAGACAGCGCTGCTGTTGGGCCCGGCAAGGCCGTCCTCCGAGTTGGCGCCCTTGCTCACCGGACCGCCACTCCTCTGCAGACGCTCCACTGCCATGAGGTGGCTCTGGGTCTCCTCTAGAATCTTCTGGGCCAACTCCTGTGGATCAAGCTTTGGATTGCTCTCCTCTTGGGATTTCACGGTGCTGTCCGTCTCTGTGCTGGACTGGTCCGATTCGCCCGTGTCTGAGCTGGCTAGCTTCCCGACCTTCTGGAAGGGTGAGTTTGGGCTGGGGATCAGAGGCATCTTGACGGGCGAGTTGGGGGCGCTGCTGCTCCCCTCAGAGCTAATGGGGCCCTTCACAGCCCCTGTTGCCCCGACCCTGGGCTGCTTGTGATCTGGTGAGAGGCGGGCCTTCCTGTCTTCTTGGTAGGCTGCCAGAGGCTCCGTGCTGATGATGGAGAAGCCTTCGTACTCCTCGTCATCTTTGCTGCCGGCCGTGCGGGCCTGTGGGGACATCTGGCGCCGAGGCAAGGTGGATCTCTGCGGGTAGGTGTTTTTGGACCGATCGTAGTCCTGTCGTCCGCGAGGGCCTCCAGCTTCTGACCCGACCTCGGGCTTGGACACGAAGCTCATGGAGGAGGTGATGGAGCTCAGGCTGTACACGGAGATGGCGTCCGAGGCGATGCTGTCTGCCCCAGTTGGGGAGAAGGGAGGGTGCTGGTAGCCCACGGGCAGAGCGTTGGAAACGGACTGAGCCGACGCCAGGGACTCCAGGGAGGACGAGCTGTCAAGGCTGAGGCGCTTGGGCAGCTCGGTAGAATCTAAACACAAAACAGAGGCCCCCAAAGGGCAGTTAGAGTCCTACCTGGTTCTGCTTTTCTTTCAAATCACAAGCATCTTTACAAGCACAGAAGCTGGCATGGGAACATGCACATGCTGCTAAGAGTTTGAATTAACCTTACAAACCTGAAAAACATGGTCCCGTGGGGAAAAGCAATAAATCTTACACAGGGTTAAAGCACCTGGGAGCGCCCCCAGCCCCATGCCCCAGAACTCCACCCAACAGCAGGCTCCACCCTGCCCTCACCGGGGCCGGGGCCTGTGAACAAGTCTGTGACACGTCCCCTCCGTCCCAGCACCCCTCTGCGGTAGTCCCCCACGCGTCTCACCCTGCCCCTGTCTAAGGTGGGATTTCAGGCCACCTTCCGGCCCTTCCCCTGGTCTCAGCTGACAGGAGTTCCATCCCGCCAGCCGTGTGTGTGTGCGTGTATGTGTGTGTGTGTGTGTGTGTCTCAGTGAACATCTCCAGCAGAGCCTGTGGGTTCAGCCTTCAGGCTGTGACCGCTCTCCAGGCCGTCCCCCCTCAGGGCTCCTCTGCCCACCCCTCTCATTTCCCTCTCTTCAGCCGGTTTGGGTTTTTCACTGTCTCCATGCACTGCATCTACCCCCCATGGCGAGCAAGGTTCTGCTCCTTGCTCTTGGGCGGTCCCTAACACACTCGTCTCCTTTTCTTTCCGTCCTGGAAGCAGAGCCAGGTGTGCGGCGGCGGCCCTGCCCCAGGGGCCCTGCGGAGGTGGGTGCCAGGCAGCTGAGCGAGGCCCGTACCGAAGAGTGACAGCAGGGACTGGAGGGCGAAGTGCGTGGTCCGCCGGCTGGCTTGTTTTCCCGTTTTCAGGATCACTTCCTCTTGCCCAACTTCACAGAGGTCAAAACCTACACAAACAAAGAAGAGACATGTTTTCTTAAGGATGACTCCACGCCTTCAAAGCGACTGGGCCGCAGGGCTCCTTGCTCCGTTCATCAGAACACGCCCTGGCCTCTGGGGCGCAGAGGTGGTGCCGCGGCTCAGTGTGGGAGGGCTCCTCTGGCTGGGGCGCCTGGCCCACAGCACCCCTTCTCCTTGGATCCCCTTTCACCTCGGTCCCTTCATGGGGCCCTGGTTGTTCTCTGGCCCTATGCTATGTCCTTGAGAGCTGAGGCGTCCTGTCATTTTTCTGTTCTTTCGAGAAGAACAGCAGAGCCGCCCATCGGGGGGACAATGCGCCACTCCGTCTGCAGTCGGTGCACGGGAAGGTGGAAGCTTCTCGAGGCCAGGGCTGTGTCTGGAGCATGGTCAGGGCCTGCCGTCCTGAGCCTTCGTAACGACTGCGGGTTCAGCCACGGCCCCGGGACGGGGCGCTGCTGCTAATGGAAGTCAGCCTTCTTGGCCGAATGGCCGGCAGGGTGAACAGAGGGCATGGAGCTCCCCGAGCAAGAGGCCGGCTGACGAGCTGTTGGCACAGCACTGACGCTTATTAGAGAGGTGCCCAGTCACTGCCACTCACGGGAAGCGCTCAGGAGGAAGAAGCCAGACACAGATGCCACAGCCGGTGATGGCACCACAGGCAGGGGCCACCAGGAATCCCCACCCCCGTGGCAGCAACATGCTTGGTGCCAATGCTCCTGGGGCTGGCGCTGTGACAGCAGTGCCCCTCCCCCCCCCCCGCCGGCCCTCCAGTGCCTGGTGCTGACGGCATCCTGTGGGCCTCGTACCAGAGGTAGTTCACAGAAGGAGAGATCATGTACTTTTTCTTTTTTGACTTCAGGTTTCTGATACTGGTGTGAACAGCCACGTTCCCTTGGGAACTAGGTTCCTCAAGAAGCCACTCAGCATCCAGTTGCTATGGGAGGGGTTGCTATGGCAGGTTTTGCTCTGACCTTGAAAATACAGAGTTGCTGGAAGCCACAGGAAGGCACTGTGCTCGGGGAATTCAGCATGTAAAGGTGAGTAACAAACATACCGTAAACACGAGGGTGCAGACTCGTCGCCACTCGCACCAGCATGATCTGACCAGTGCACCAGAACTGAACCCGCTTAAGCACCTGCCCCTGCAGCGGCCGTGATGTGGGTCTGCACTGAGGACTGGGGGGGCACGTGGCGCCCTCAGGCAACAGCGCCCGTCCCTTCCACAGCCACACACACGTTTCCCAGCTCAACCCATCATGGGAGCATCAGTGGAAGTCACCCACAACCCTGCACAGAGACCGCCAGTCTAAGATGTTCTGGGCTTTTCCTGATACACCTGCACAGGGCCTCGTACGTCCAGGTCAGAGGAGGCAAGCTGGCTGGCACCCTCGGCCCACAGGGGAAGGCGCAGCCCTGTGCTGGGAACAGCCAGGACAAAAGCCCGGACATGTGTATGAGCCTTTCCTCTCTGAGGAAAGGGCTTGGGGTCGCGTTGCTGACTCATCAGAACTCTCCATCGGAGTGGATTTGACACCTGTGCTGCTGGCCCCACAGCCTGTCATGGCAGTGAGAGGACAACCCTCTCGGTGTGCAGCTGGCATTTCCCACTCCTGCCTCCAAATCACACACGTTTATTATGGCTACGCCAAGCAGGCTATGCTTTTAATCCACAGGAGGAAAACACGTAGTGCAAAGGGAAAGGACTCCAGAAGTCTAATGAAAGGCGCTGCAGGTTTCCTCCTTCGCCTTCCAAGGAAACGGAGCATAAAAGATGCCAGCCCTGAGTGGAGGCAGCTGGGCGAGGTCACCAGCAGCACAACCAGGAGAAGATGGCCCAACACGGCACACCCGGGCCTAGGCGGCACAAACGGTGGGGCCCACACACGGCGGGGCCCTACCACTGACCTGAAGGTTGGCAATCTGAATCTACCTGGCACAGCAGGACCCTGGAAGAAAAAAACCAAACCAAACCCACTGCCATCAAGTTGTATTTGACTCATAGCGACCCCTCCTTGGGTTTCCAGAAGTAGACTGCCCAGTCTGCCTTCCAAGGAGCGGCTGCCAGGTTTGAACTGCCAGCCTTCTGGTCAGCATCAAATGTCTTAGGCACTCCACCACCAGAGCTCCTGCCATGGAAGAAAGGCCTGGCAATCTGCTTTCCCAAAGATTACAGCCAAGAAAACCTTGTGGAGTTCTCCTCTGTGACACACGGGGGCGCCACGAGTCAGAGTCGACACAGCAGCACCAACGTCATGCAGGAAGAAAAGCCGTGTCTCAGGTACCAGCCCTCGTCCCAGTGAACTGGATCATGTCCTTCCTCCAAAGGCGCTCACTTCCCTCGGGTTAAAACTGCTCCCCCTGCCTCCCCCAGCCCCTCATTCCTCTGCACTGCTGCCTGGACCCTGCTTCCACTCAGCAGCGCCGTGCCTCCAGGCCTCTGTGCTCACTATTCCCTCATCTTGTCAACATCCGCATTAGCTCCCAGGCACGCCCTGGCTCCCTGCTCCCCACCCCTCCAGCCAGCCACTTTGACCCTCATGCTTTTGTCAGTCATGGTGCAGCTTCACCTTCTAAGTGTCTCCCTTGAACAACTTATTTTGTGATATCTTTTTCTACCAGAATGTCAAGTCCAGGAGGGTGTGGGTTTGTGTCTTCTGTTCATGGCTAGAGCCCCAGTACCTAGAGCAGTGTCTGGAGCATAACAGGTGTTCAGTAACAATGTGCCAAGTGATAGCTCCCAACCAAGTCCTTCACACACAGGTGGGCACAGGAGACGTTTTATGGCTTCTGGTAGAGGTTTATCAATAGATGTACCTGTTGTAAGTAAACTGCAGTTACATCAGGAGCTGCCTTAGCCATGTTTGAAAAAAGAGAAAAGTGAGTCTCCCGGATTGAACAGGATTCTGGGATGCGCCTTTCTAGGTGCCCACAGTCAAATCAGAGTTGGTTTCCACGGTATTTTTTTTCTGTCAATAGCCAATGATAGAGCCCAACATTGAAACCATGATTTTATGACTGTACTTCTAAGTATGCTTTAGCTCTTAATCACAGCTTGGACCTCAGCAATACTGGACTCTGGCAGACTCACGTTAATGAGTGCATGGGGGGAGAAAAGATGGCGTCGTAGTGAGACTTTTCACCCAATCCCTCCATAACCGAGACCTCAACAAACTGAGTGAAACAGATACAGATAATGATCCTGGAAGTCTGAGCATTAATGAGAGGACAGAGAAACAGACTGAGTGCTGACTGGGAAGGGAGACAGAGCAAGGACAGTGTCTGGTGAGAGAGTGGAAGCCAGGGCATGATGAGGCGTGGCCATTTTGAGAGACAAAAGGTATTATCTATATGTAAGGAAAGACCACACTGGGCAGATGCATGGCATGGGCAGGTCTGGAGGGAGTCAAGGTGAGCAGAATGCACGCTGGATCCGCAAGAGGAAAGTGCAGGGAAACCGGAGATTTCCGTCAGCACAGGCAGAGTGAGGAGGGAACCAGTGAAGGGGCTGTAGCCACTGCCAGTGCTCACTGGACGTCTGGCTGAGGACCCATGTGAAGGGGAAGGCCCGAGGGGTGGCGGTCGGAGACGCTGGACTCCAGTGGCCCTGACTTGGACTAGAAAGACTTCACAGTGTTCTTAGCTACGTCTTCCCAGTGACAAGGGGAGAGCCCTCTTCCGGCCCCCAGCCCAGATACCTGTTGTGCCATGCACCAAGCAGTCTGTGCCCGTAGCTCATTCTCCCTACACCTGTGTCGACAGTGCTTCCTCCACTGATTGCAAGAACACATCGCTCCCACCTGGCGTGTACCTATGCCAGGCTACCCCCACCATCACAGCCCCCTTCTGCTGGCTGACCATAGCCCACAAGCCCCTTTTTTTTCTTTTCTTTTTGGCTACTTTTTCCTTTTCTTTTACCCATCTTCCTTCTCATTCCATCCCCATCCCCCTTGTTTTTCCCCATCTTTTTCTTTTTCTCCCTGACTCATCTATCAGGACACAGACACTAATTCTCCACTAGTCAGCCATCCCTAACACACCTACCACCCACTCCTGCACCACTAGATCAACAATAGTAGGTGGACAACAACTGTTCATCCACGGCTCTTCACTCCTCTTCCAACAAATGGATCTGTGCTCACATTCCCACCAGTTACTCCACCCACCTGAGTAACTGGTGGGTAAGGAGCACCCCAGTGCTGCCAAACTAGCAACAGAACTACACCTGCCCCACCCACCTGGATATATCAAAACAAAAATTCAGAGTGAAATAAACCAACCCACAATCAACAAACAAAAAGATGACAACTTCCATTCAAATGAAGAAACAGGAGAAGATAGCACAAGCTATCTTTTAAAATAAGAACAAGGAAACCTCCACAAGGAAGAACAGGTAGTAGAACTATTTTGTAAAAAATTCACGTATATATAAAAACCAAAACCAAACTCACTGTCGTGGAGTTGGATCCGACTCACCTTCTGATTAGCAGTCAAACGCCTTAGGCACTGCACCACCAGGGTCCCTTCATACACACACACACACACACACACACATTAGCCAGCTAGAAGACAAATCCCTTGATGCCAGTTAATATGAGGAAAAATAAGAAAAAAGAAATGGAGAAAGTCTGAAAATTATTTGGGACAATATCAAGAGAAATAATATATGTGTGACTTCAATTTCAAAACAGGAAGAGAATGAATGAATGAATGAATAAATGAATAAATAAATAAACAAACAAACAAACAAACAAACCACAGAGAAAACTTTCAAAGATTTGTTAGCAGAAACCTTCCCTAGTATCATGAAAGATGAAAGATACCCATCCAAGAAGCACAATGAACCTCATACAAGACAGACCCCAAAAGAAAGTCTCCAAAACCAAAGATAAAGAATCTTGAGAGCAGCTCAGGAAAAACAAAATGTTACTTACAAAGGGCAACTGATAAGACTAAGCTCTTATTTCTCAGTGGAACCCATGCAGCAAGA